CTCTCTCTGTGTGTGTGTGTGCGTGTGTGTGCGTGTGTGTGTCTGTGTCTGTGTCGGTGTCTCCCAAGAACTTATGCATGCTAGGCAAGCACTCTACCACTGAGCTACATCCTAATCCTGCCTTTCAACCTTCTCTTCGGGTTCTGGAATTTTTGCCACCAATCTACCTATGGGGGGAGAGCATGTCTGCCAACTTGAGCTAAAATGAATTCTGCTCGATGATCTTTGATTTAAGTCCTATCAAATATAGAATACCAATCTGTGTTGGGAAAAACAAAGACAGTGAAAAGAGCCCCTTCTCTAGGACCCTGCTACTCAGTGTGGGAGCCGTGGTTGGTAGCCCTGCACCCTTGATGAACCTGTCACAAAATGCTGCCTCTCAGACCACATCCAAACTTCCTCAATCAGAGCCTACATTTTAACCAGATCTTCAGTTGGGCCTTTCATCCATAGACCTTTGAGAAACCCAGCCTTCACCACGGGAGTTAAGTCTGCAACCAGATACTGCAGCCTCTCTGTAGCATGGGAAGCTCTGGATATGTACTGTTAAATGCAGGTTAGCAGGGTGTTTTCATCCTTTTCCAGAGAGAGGAAACTGGGAAGGAGACCACAGACTGAAAGTTGAGGCTTAAAACGGTATTACTAGGGCTGGGGGTATAGTTCGATTGGTGGGGGATTTGCCTAGCATCCATGAAGTCCTAGGTTCAGTCCTTACCACACACACACACACACACACACACACACACACACACACCGAACAAACACATTGTTAAAAGCAAAGGGGCCTGTAGATTCATTCCTATAAAATTAAATTAAATACTGGAGCACTAACGCTGACTCTGTCCAGACAATAATCACCGCAACTTACAGAAATCACTGTGAGTAGGAACTAGACTAAAAATTATACATCTAAAACATAGCTTATGAAACTAGACATGGTGGCACATGCCTGTAATCCAAGCATTTGGGACTGAGGTAGGAGATTAGAAATTTGAGGTAATCTTCAGCTACATAGCAAGTTCAAAGCCAATGTAAGATATATGAGACCAAGTCTCAAAAATAAATAAATAGTAAATAAATAGTTATAGCTTATTGCTGATATCATCATAGAAAGGCTTCAGTGAGCTCAAATTCCAGTATAATTTGGAATCATTTTTCTCTATGTTCAATCCTAAATTATTAGTGATTTGATCTTCAACCCTCTTGCCATCCCAGCGGACATCTCTCTATTTACCAAGTATCTCTGGGACCACCGTCTGTGAGCCAGCAGTACAAGTACTCCAGACACAATGGCCTGTGAAAAGAGAATTGTCAAAAATAACATGGACAATTGAAGGGACCTCTGGAAAGAGTTCAATCTGTCTCCCAGTTTGACAGTTTTATCATGAGCTAGAAGGAAGAGCAAATGGCGAAATGGATTTACGTCTCTGAAGTCCTCTCAACCTGTGGGAGCAACTGCAGAGACAAAGAAGAAGGCAAGTCAGTAGTGTCACCAGAACCTGAGTCACAAGGCTCATGCCTTCACCATCACAACCACGTGCAGGTACTGTCAGACGTCACCCAATCAAAGCTAGGCTTTATAGTTCCTGTGGGATGTTTTGCTTTGATTCACTCTATGTTATTTTTCTTTCTAAGTTTCTTTTTACACTGATTGTGTGTGTGTGTGTGTGTGTGTGTGTGTGTGTGTGCACATGTGTGTAGGTCAGATAACATCTTAGTGGAGTAGGTCCCTCTACCTCACTCTGTGGGTTCCAGGAACTGAACTCAGGTCATTAACCTTGACAACAAGCACCTTTACCCACTGAGCAATCCCACCAGCCCATCTTTCTCACAACTTTCTAAAACTGCCAGCAGACGGAAACGGAACGGAGACCTGTCCCCAAACCCTGAAATCCTTCCCAGGAGCACCTTGATCTTTTGCCACTTGCTGTCTTTTGGGAATCCTCAGCCTCTGCCTGCAGGTGGGCCACAAACACTCAGCCCCCACCCCCACCCATTTCCTAAATAACACAGGTGATCATTAGAGTGAATGCCCAGAAGGGCATTTATTGTTCTGGGTATGGTGGGGGCTGCTTTCCAAAGAGTATTTATAGTCACTGTCAAAGAAAAGGCCCCAAGCGTAGAACAGAAATAGTTAATGAAGGAGGGAATGGAAGGGAATCAACAGAATTTTGCAGAAAAAAAAAAAAATCTCTGAGTTCATCTTGAATTCAATGTGAGCTCTGACCAAGGAGATATTTGTGACTATTGAGACTGGAAATTGCTTATTCCCAAACCACACACATCATTTGTTCCCAGTCAATGAATGTATGATGAGGTCGAGACAGAAAATCAGGATCAGGAAGAGGTGGCCTAAAATAGGATGCTGAATACAGATAGGTTTAAAAATAGCATAGTTTTGGATTTTTACAGAGTAATAATCATGGCAGTATTACAGGATCAATAAATTTAACAGGAAATCGGGTCTTTCACCCATGTGATTTTGTGGTATGCTGCTTTTGTGGCTCTGAGTTTGGCATACTTATTGTTTTGAGACTTGGATTTTCATTTTCTTGGCACATTTTATTCCGAATGCTGGATTTAGAGAAACCGAAAGAGGGAACACACTCGCTCACACAGAACTTCTTGTGTAGCCGAGTCTGAAATCATAGACTTGACGAGCTTGTACCATGAAAGTCCCAGGGCTAAAAACAGAACCATCTGTAGTCAAAGGAGGTTCCTGGCTTGATTCTGCAAAGAGAACCTTTCCAAGGACCCTACGAAGGCAGAGCCAGCATAACAGTATGACAAAACGGGGGGAATTAAAGCACTAAAACGACGGTGTGGGTTGACCTTAGCTGTCTAGGCTTTCAAAAGCGGGACTCTCAATTGACACATGGCTCCCATGTCATTAATGAGAGAAACTTAGAAGCCAGACAAAAGCAAGAGACCACTCTGTCCCTCTGTTGCCTCCACTCTGGAGATGGCTGCCATTATGGGATGCTGAAAGTCTAGCTTGCCTTAAGTACATTGGCAGGAGTTTGTTCTTTCCTTTTGAAAGTTGAAAAGCACTGCGGAATTGTAGTGGCCTGTTATTTTGGTTGCAGCCAGATTGAGTTTTTCTTTGTTTACACAAAATTCTGAAAAAGCTCCTTCATGGAGTAGGCCTAGCAAAGGCAGTTCAGTAACTTGGTAAAGTTGCTGGTGGGATGCAGAAGCAGAGATGAGCAAGACCATCTTTCTTGATGCCCATGATGGGAAAAGAATTAAAAATGAAGGGATTTGCTGGGTGTGGTAGCACAGACCTTTAACCCCAGCACTCTGGAGGCAGAGGTGGGTGGATCTCTGTGAACTCAAGGCCACCTGGTCTATATAGTCAGTTCCAGTCCAGCTGCTGCTACAGGGAGACCTTGCCTCAAAAAACAAAAGTGTGTGTGGTGGGGGGGGGTTCAAGAGTAGGGAAGATAAGTCAATGGGAAGGGAAATGTGAAAGGAGGGGTGTCCAAGAGGTGACAAGTTGGGCCAAGCAGTATGGTTGTGGGAAAGGGAGGGTGGAATGGTGCCTGGGCTTAGTGGGGAACTACCTCCCCTCGAATGATCCTTGCCATGCTGTTGGCTCACCTTCTGAGGACTGCTAACACTCCCATTGACAGCCTTTGCCAGCCCACCCACTAGACCTTTAAATTGCTTAAGTAGAACATGCAGCTCCCAGAAACAGATGAATTGAAGGAAGCAGCAAACAGTCTCACAGAAATAGAAACTTTAGAGGCATCAAATGATTATAAGATTTAACTGATTCACTTATAAGCATCTATTGTGGATCTACTACAAACAAGGGACGTCATAAACACAGTGCGGATGAAATGATAATAACTTCCTATTGACTGAGTGTTTAATACATGGTAGGCATGATGCTCAACACTTCATATGTATTAACACACTGAATCCACATGAGGCTGAAGATGTTGCTCAGTTGGTAGAGTGTTTGTTTAGTGTGAAGGAAGCTCTGAGTTTGATTCCCAGTGCTGCATAAACAGGGTGTGGTGGTACAGACTTGTAATCCCAGCACTTGGAAAGTGAAGGCAGGAGGATCAGAAGTTCAAGGTCATCCTCTGTGATATAGAGAATTCAAAGTCAGCCTGGGCTATATGAGACCTTGTATCAGTTATATTCTTGTTGTTATGATAGAAAATACCCTGTCAAAAGCAACTTAGGAGAAAAAGGTTTATTTTGCCTTACAATTTCAGAGGAGTACAGTTATCATGGCTGAAGAGGCGTGACAGCAGGTAGGGAAGACATGGTGGCAAGATCATTAGGCTGCCTGGTCACACTGCATATACACTCTGGAAACAGCGAGTGGACAGGAAGTGGGGCTGGGCTATAAAGCCTCAAGCACTGTCCCCTGTAAACTCACTTTTTGCAGGAAGGTTCCACCTCCTAAAGGTTCCACAACCTCCCCAGTCAGCTCCACCAGTTAGGGAGAAAGTGTTCAAACATGTGGGCCTATGTGGGACATTATACATTCAAACTAAAATGGGACCCTGTCTCAAAAACAAAATAAAAAAAATTTGTTTTTTTTTTTTTTGAGACAGGGTCTCCCTGTAGCCCCAGCTGTCCTGGAACTCACTACGTAGACCAGGCTGGCCTTGAACTCACAGAGATCTGCCTGCCTCTGCCTCCCAAGTGCTGGGACTACAGGTGTACACCACCACGCTTGGCATAAAAAAATTTTTAAATGTATACTAACTGCATCATGGAGGTATTACCCCACTTTTCAAAGGAGGCAAAGAGAGGCCAAATAAAATGTACAAGAGCACAAAATAATTATTTTACAAATCAAGATCATACCTCTCATTGGGATTTGTAGACCAAATTTGAAAATAATGCACATATAAAATGTCTACAAAGTTAGATAAAAATAAATATTTTGTACATGAAATGAGCTTAGGAGATATGATGGCACTTAATGGGGGAAACTGATGTAGGCAGCCAGGCAAATGGACTCTGGAGGACTGAAGGATGCCCATGATTTCTGTAGCAGGTGACAGGGAGGGACAGCCCCAGCCTGGGACCAGCATCTGAGGTGAGGAAGTGGCAGGGAGGAGCCCAGATCTGCAGCAGGACCAGGTCTAGGAGGAAAATAGGAAAACACAGTTGTACATTGTGCTAGATAGCTTTAGTGTCAACTTGACACACCTGGGTTGAGGGAGCCTCAATTGGGGAATTGCCTCTATTGGACTGGCCTGTGGTCATGTCTGTGGAGCATCTTCTTGATGAGTGATGGGGGGGTGCCCAGCCCACTGTGGGTGGTGCCACCCCTGGGCAGGTGGGCCTGTGTTGCATAAGAAAGCAGGCTGAGTAGGGGCCAGGGGTGCAAGCCAGTAAGCAGAGTTCCTCCTTGGCCTGTGTTCCAGCTCCTGCTTCCAGGTTCCTGCTCTGAGTTCCTACCTTGGGCTCCCTGATGAACTGTGACCTGATTTATGTAAGCTAAATAAACCTTTTCCTCCCCAAGTTGATATTGGTCAGAGTATTTTGTCACAGCAATGAAGAAATAACTAGGTCATATATTATATGACACCAGATTGAGGAGGACTCAGAAGTTAGGTTAGTACATTTGGGTTTCATTGGGGGCTGATCAAGTGTCATCAATGGCTTTTGAAGAAAGAGGTAGCTTGTCTCCCAAGAAAGCTTAAAAGGCTGAGTCTGATGTTGTATACACGCTGGACTGGAATGGAGTGAGGCCTGGGGTCTCTGAAGTTCCCTGGTGTTTAGACATCTCTTTTAACTCCAGTTACAGTAAGCAGTTATCTGTTTTGGCCTAGGTACAAATCTAATGTTTTAAAATTTTAACTGATTTCATTTTATTTTATATGTATGAGTGTTTTGCCTGCAAGCAAGTGTACCACATGTGTGCAATGTCCATGGAGGCCAGAAGAGTGTCTCAAATTCCCTGGAACTGGAGTTACAGATGGTTGTTAGCCACCATGTAGGTGCTGGGAACCAAACCCAGGTCCTCTGCAAGAGCAGCCATTGAGCCATCTCTCCAGCTCCCTAATTTTCTTGGTTTTTGAGATAGGGTTTTGTTATCAGAGTTATTAGTGTTGGAACCTGGGTCCTGGTGGCCCAAACAAGCCAGATTTGGGCCCTCAATAAGCCAATTGAACAAATAAGTAACAGGAAAAAGTAGAAAAAGGAGATTTATTCGGTGTGATCGCACTGGGAAGAGGGCAAAGAGGTTCATTGACGTCCCCCTGACCCAGCTACCCAGTCCGTCTTTGGGGTCTTACTGTGAGGTTTAGGTTTAAGTAGAGGGTC